AGGCAACCTTTCCCGCTTACCTGGACGGCGGCAGCGTCTCCAGCCCGGTCCCCCCGGGCGGCAGGAGGCCTCGGAAGTCCGGGTGGTCGTGCTGTTCTGTCCGGAGGAGGGAGAGCAACGTCGGCCCGTGAAAGCCGAGCGCCTGGCGAAGCAAATCCCGCTCCATTCCCCGCCACGGCAGCCAACCTACCACCCGCGGCGCCTCAAAACGGCGGTGGCCGTGGCTCCTCCCTTGGCGCGGAATGAGGCGTATGACCCGGAAGTGAATGCGTTTAGGAGCGCTTTTCGCTTCTTCCTCGTCCCCCCTCAGTCAAGAGGCGCTTGTTTGCGCAGGCGCAAAAAGAACACCGCCCACCGAATTTTAGTTGTCTTTTGTGAGGCGGAGGGGCGGGGCCAAGGCGGAATGGGCGGGAAGAGGACGTTCCCTATTTATCACGTTATTGTTACAATTCCTTCTTAATAGATAGTGTGTTGCAGCTTCTGAGGGGCGGATACTGAGCTTTCTGGAAATAAAGTTTTAATAGTACAGTAATAATAACTTTCCTGCTGCTCCAACGCGTGTTGTTTGGGAGTAAAATGCAGTGAACTGACAGAAGTTTAGTTCTGAGAAAAAAACTCCTGCAAATTGAGAGAAAATGGGAACCTGTTAAAATACATTTCCAAAACTTTTAATAAAAACATTTGTTGCAACACGTTTTATTGGGCACCCGGAGCCCTCGGGTTAACTGTTAAGCAAAATAAGCACGTGCTTAGTGCTTATCTCTAGTCGCCATGAATCAGAATCAACTTGATAGTACACAATTATTCTATCTCTAGGCGCCATGACTCAGAATGAACTTGATGGTACACAGTTATTACAATATTGTGCTTGTCATTCATCGGGTTGCCATAAATTGGACGTGATTGGATGATTGTGATTGTCATTCATAGGGTTGCCATAAATTGGACGTGATTGGATGGCAAATAGAAACACAACAATTGCTTTATTATGTGTGCAGACCAACAGGCAGGACTTGGAAACCAATTATTGCAGTATTTCCTTATCTTTTTATAGAAGTTCTCTTCAGGGAACCCCCAGTCATATGTACTTCCAGTATACCATATTGTCATTGGGCAAAGTTTGGAAAAGTTACATTTTTAGGCAATTCCCATAAATGGCCATTGCTAGCAGAATGATTTTAGGAGTTGGAGTCCAAAAAAGTAATATTTCTGAGCTGTGGAGACAGTACTGTAATCTAGCTGATATGGATCAGCTGGGTGCATTTATGAGCTGTGGAGACAGTAATCTAGCTGATATGGATCAGCTGGGTGGCCTTTGGCCAGATGGGATAGGCAGTAAATAAATAAATACTGTATTTTTCCATGTATAAAATGACAAATTTTCCTTAAACAATTTGAGAAAAAATTGAGCATTGTTTTATACACGGAAGGCAGCTCTTTACCACTGTCTTTTGCAAAGGCACAGGGCTTAGCAAAAGAGAAGGGGTGGCGTTGCTCTCTTCCTTTTTGCTAAGCTCGGGAAGGGGTGGCATTGCCCTCTTCCTTTTTGCTAAGCTCCATGCCTTCTCAAAAGGCAAAGAAAAGCTACAGTCACTTTGACAGCCACTTTCCTTGCCTTTTGCCAAGGCACAGGCTTAGCAAAAAGGGAGCCCTTTGATCCCTGCTTTTTCTAATTTGGGGTTAGAGAAGGGGGGTCACATTATACTTCAGGTCATCTTATAAACAGAAAAATATGGTAAATAAATAAATTGGTTGATATGTGTGGAATGGTCAGATAGGCAGTGCAGTGATACTCTTAAGTTACCATTATTGCAGAGCACATGCCCTATGGTTTTTTGAGATAAATTGGTTGATCTGTGTGGAATGGTCAGACAGGCAGTGCAGTGATACCCTTATGTTACCATTACTGCAGAGCACATGCCCTATGGTTTTTTGAGAACCCATTGATGATGAATTTGTAACATGCTTTGCTGATAAAATTCCTCATTAGTGAGTTTTAAATTTTTATAAGAAATATACCTTCAAAAGACTTATGCTCAGCAAAGTGTGACATTTTGTGAAAGATTAAATAATTGTTTCTACTTATCATAAAGGAAAGTACGTTTAAAGATTTTAATGGTTTAACAAAAAATAATACTCTTTTAAAGGCTGTAATTTTCAAAGAGTTTAACATCCGTAAAACCAGTGATCACATAGAAATACAAAAGTTATCATCCTGTAGGGGAAGGATGAGCAAAATGTATATACTGTATATACATTTTGCTCATCCTTCCCCTACAGGATGATAAGTTTGTATATACTGTATATTTGAAACACCTACTTCTGAACCTGGCCTCCTGGACCAGTGTTTTTCCATTCAAGATTCCTCCCTAGAAAACAAAATCAGAAGTCCCCATTTGGACACTTTCTTTTAATTAAAAAAAAAGGGGGGGGGAGGCTGAAAATTGCCATTTCAGGCCTTGTGTGAGCCAGCACGGCTTTCAGACAAAAGTCTTGCTCAGGCCCACCAAACTTGCCCAACCTCTTGCAAAATGGGCATAATTGCTTACACATGTTGATAGAGTTATTACAACCTCACATGCTGCCTTCTAGCTTGTTTGACTGGGAAGGACCTTTCTAGGTCTGGAAGTAACTGTCAATCTGTTCAGCATTAACCAGTAGTGAATGGATTTTTTTTTTAAAAAAAGCCCCATCTCTCTGCTGAGAGTTCTTTACTCAAAGTGTCTGTTAATGTCCACTGCTAATGTTTGATAGAAAAAGTCTGAAAAAGTCTATTGAAGCAGAGTAGTTTAGTTTGCTGTTAATATATTCACAGTTGTAAGTAAATAGAACAGTTTTATTCTTTGTACCACTAATGTCTCAGAGTAAACCATTCAGACTGAAAGCACCAGTTAGTGATAGAGGGGTGGCTTCCTTGGGAACTAGAATCATAAAAAAGTGAAGTTGGAAGGGGCCTACAAGGCCATCAAGTCTAACCTCCTCCTCAACTAGTAGCTATTATACTTTGTGAACCCCTACACTTCTGTTGTGCAGGTGAGGAAAGTTAAACAAAATTTCATAATACTATGCAGATTTGTCGTTAAACAGCGTGCTCGTTAAGCGAGGCACCACTGTATGCTTCTATTGCGCAGGTGAGGAAAGTTAACCAAAATTTCATAATATGGCTGTTCCCAATGACAGATCACAAGTGGAATGTTGTGTTCTGCTTATGCCTAAAATGATTCTGGCCAGCATTTGCCATGCAGATCTGAATTAAGAATGGTACATACCAAAATCAGATCATACAAGTTCCAGTCTGTTGTGGATTAGCAGTAGAATTAATTTTTGAGTTACATTTACACGCCTTGTATTTTCTGAACCCTCTGGGAATCTGAATCCTATCTAACAGAGCCAGCCAAAGTACCGACTTTCTGCTTCTCAGCATCATGGCTCATTGCCATGGTACAACCATGACAGTGAGCAATGGACTCCACCGTTCTTCATTACTCATATAACACTTTGACCCAGTTTAAGAGCTTTAATGCAGCATTCCTTCTTTGCCAATTGGTTTTTGATGCCAGTTACCCAGAATTCATCTGATGTGTGAACATCTTTGTGCCTCCTCCCCTTAATACAATCACTATTTTCTGCTTATTTAGATCTCCATATAATGAATCATTAAGCAATTTCAGTTGCTCATCACTTGGCAGTGTACGAGAAGATATATATTGTATGATAGAAATAAGTTAACAATTTATTTACAGTCTTCTAGGCAATTCTAATTAAGCTATTTCAGCCTTGACAGCCTCAAAAGTGTCAGTAGGCCCATGAAGGGTTTCTGACTGGCTCAGCTGTACTTAAATGTAGAAGATTCTGTGTACTATACCTTTCTTAATCGAGGTTACAGAGTGGTTCTGAACCTGGGATCCCCTGCATGTGAAATCTGAGCTGTTTCCTCCCAGAATTTTGCTTTTTGAGCAATAAGTATAGGGATATTTTTTTTCACTATACACACATATGATCAGTTATTTTTAATATGATGAACAGCATTGACTCATTATGTTCAACATTCTTCTTTTAGGAAGGCCATTCAAAGGCATTTGGAACCCTTTGAACATCTTTTTAGTATATTTTTGTTTTGTTTTTAACAAAATATATTTTTAAAAGATGCCATGGTAGTGGCATAAAGGTAAAGGTAAAGGTTCCCCTTGACCATTTTTGTCCAGTCATGTTCGGCTCTAGGGGGCGGTGCTCATCCCCGTTTCCAAGCCATAGAGCCAGAGTTTGTCCGAAGACAATCTTCTGTGGTCACATGGCCAGTGCGACTTAGACACGGAATGCTGTTACCTTCCCACCGAAGTGGTCCCTATTAATCTACTCGTATTTGCATGCTTTCGAACCGCTAGGTTGGCGGGAGCTGGGACAAGCGACGGGAGCTCACTCCGTCGCGTGGATTCAATCTTACGACTGCTTGGTCTTCTGTCCCTGCAGCACAGGCTTCTGTGGTTTAGCCCGCAGCGCCACCACGTCCCATGGTAGTGGCATATTAACATGTTATTCTTAAAACAGTGAGTAATGTCCTGGTTTAAAAGAAAATACAAAAATCCAATTTCTGGTTCTACCACATCCATGTCTTTTCTTCTCCTGATGTATATTGACAACTCGGTTTCATAATATGCTTGTTTCTTGATTGCTCCTGTGGCTGAGTGGGTCAGGAACTACCCTATACTATCAGGAAACTCTCCCTCTTCAGCCTCTGACAAAACTACCATCATATATGCATGTATGATGAATTGTGATTATTTCTGTTATAGATATCTAGGCATTGTTATAGTACCCCATGGGAACTAGTTAGCTTTGTCACAAATAGTGTCTAGAGACAATTAGTCATCCACTGTGGGAAACAGGATGAGATGATCTAGTAGTGGTCTTATTTATCCAACTTTTTCTTATGTGCCGCCAAGTAGTTCCAAGTAATAAATTCTAGGCCCCCTAGATTTTGGACTGCTTATATTCTTCCATGGATATTGGCAAACTTTATAACCAGAATTCAAACTTGTTTAGGAAATAGGCATAGGATTGCAATTTGAGGAGATAGTGACAGTTGAGGCCCTTCGAAAGCCTATGTAATGTGGAGATATTCCACTAGAGGGTGAGATAAGATCATAGTATGCAGTGCAACTGACTTTAAAAGATGCAGTGAAATAATACTATGGTTGAAGTCCTTAGTATGTTGCAAACAGGCTAGGCCCACTGAATCAGTAGGGATTTGGTGAGTCATGTGTGTAGGCATTCTTCAGTCTCGAGAGACTATGGTAACGTGCTCTGAATAGAGGT